GTAAGGGATTCTTCACACCCCCAACTCCACCCACCACCCCCCAGCAAAAGCACAGCACTAAAGTTATCAGTCCTCCACTTTCTGAGTAGGTAACACAAGTAGCAGGGATACAGTGAGAACACCTTACACTGGATTTTGCTTTTGCAGAGAACCTCCCTTTTTTGGGAGGGAGAAGGAAGACCTGTTGCAAACTGAGTGTCAAGCACCATAGCTACCCTGCTCAGCTGGTCCCTGACAAATTGACAGACATGAGGTATGTGGAAGTTACAAGTTGGGTACCTGAGTGCCATTTTGTCATTGCTGTGTCATGATGCCAGCTGTACCTGTTACAGCTTTGTCAACCAGCTGCATCACCTACCTTAATGCTACAGAGCATATGCTTTTAGCAGCTGCAACGTGGTGGCTGGGGCTCATGTGACTAATTGAAAGACTCTACCACTTCCCAGTACATAGAACAGACATCTTTTATTACTGAGGAAAGGAAACTTGAGTTTACCATTTATTTTTTAATACAATTAAAGGAGGAACCCCAGGAAAAAATGTTATATACAAAATACCTGTGATAACAGAGCAGCTCACCTGGTACTAAGGCCCAGATATTAAGCTGAAAAGGTCTCACAGAAACCATTTGTGTGCAATTCACTGAATACAGAATAAGGCAATAGAAAACATGATTCATAGTATAAGTGCTTAAAGAAAAAATAAATGAAATAACCTGCCCATCAAGAATATAAAAATAAACTGATGCTAGACATACTTGTCAGTGAAAACTTTTTGTTTCCTTTAGAAGGAGTTACTTAAAGTGTCACAGGAGTCTGCGGTGATGTAGAAAGGTTTGGCACAGTGCAAAAGACAAACCCTTCTCCAGGAGGCTGTGCAATTGTCAGTCTGGAGCATAAGTAGAGGATGAGATAGTCAGAGGGAAAAACGTTGTGCCAGTACAACTGTCAGAGCTCTGGTGTGGTTGGTAAGGTGGAAATGCATCGTCATTATAGGAGGGAAGGAAGCACAATGTTGAAAATGAGCAAAGTAAATAAAAAAAGAGGGTGTTCAGGCTGCAAGAAGCTAGTAGTTTGTGCTGGAACAAGCATAGATTGAAAGAAGAGGAAACTTGAAAAGTATGAGACACCATTGCCCATACAGCAAGTCCTGCAATAAGGTCAGGCTGCCTTTTGGAAACACTGCTTTCTGTGTCACCTATGTTCTGCTTGCAACTAGAATGCACAAGTGCAAAGAGTATTGCTTCCTTATGACCCACCTTATCTCCTTTTCTCTGGCAAAAACCCCTCCTTAGGAATGTTCTGAAGTTCCCATTTCACTTCATACAATGGGAAAGCAGTAAAAAAGCTGATGGGGCAGCATGACTCTGCAGGAGTAGAAAGGGAGCAGTGTCTTATTTTTTACTAGCGACTTGATCCCTTAGCCTCTCGTAGCTCAATCCTCTATAAAGCACTTCTAGTCGTCCTATTTCCTCCAGCAATTTCTCTCTCAATATGTACCTGCTAGAAAGAAGTTAAACGGAATATTTCTTTGCTGTGTCCTAGCAAGATAAACAACTCAAGCAACAAAACATCCCACAAAGAGGCATGGTGCTTTAAGACTTTTTTTTGCCCTGCTAACTACACACATGGATAGAGCAGTAAGGGAATGGGTACAGCTTGCAGTGGGACAGAGCAAAAGGGCAGGACAAACCTGTCAAACTCAGGGCAGGGTTGAGTTAGGTTAGTATGCAGAGTTGCTTAGGAAGCTTGTTGGGGCTTTTTCCTCTTTTTCCCTTCAAAATGAGAAACCACTTTTTCCTACACAGTAGGCAAGAATATCACCCAGATCAGATGAGTCCTATCCAATGTTAGCATCCTGTAGGGAACTTCCTTCAAGTCCTGGCTGGGTAGAGAGAACGCTGGCAGAAAGCAGCAGCATTCAATGCACAGTAAATCCCTGTGTCACTGTGAGAGAGTCCGAAGAATCTGGAGAGCCTACACTAACAAGTATTCCTATGCAAATGTACAAATCAAAGCAGACCTATGTTTATGAAGCAAGGCCCCGAGTTACATTTCATTACAGTAGATACACGTGAGATAACCACCAAGTGTTACAGAAATTTAAATGGGGCTTTACAAGTGTGGGTAGGAAGGAATGCATATAAAATCTTCTACACGTGTATGCGCAAAGGTGTGCACATGCATGTACTCACACACACACACCACCAGCGGGCTGCGCTGTGTCAGATGTGCTCCTGTATCTCTTAGTAATTTAATGGAGGAGCTGTATCGTGGTACCTGGCTTGTCGAGGCCATCCTTTCAGGAGAGAAATGTTACGAGAACTTGTGCCACTGCTGTAGATAAGCAATATTAGTTAGCTGTTAGGTGTGCCGTCAGTATGTATCATTCCCTAAAAAGTCTCATAGCACTGAAAATAAGCATAAGGCATATAGTCTCACCTCAAGGTGCTTTTTCATGAAAAGTGTGTGCATTATTGCCTCTTTAGCAGAGAAGGACATGTAACTGTAATGGTCAAGTCCAAATCCAAAGTCCTCCAGCACAAAGAACAGTACTGGTAGATACCCGTGCGAGGCTGAATATAAAAGAAGTTTTAGCTGCTCCTAGTTGCAACATGGAGGCACAGCCTGACCTGAGATTGTGTGTCGGGGTCTGGGGTCTCCCAAAGGCCAGCTCTGCGTTACTAAAGGGGTAGATGGGGGTGGGCTATCTGCTAGGGTTCTGCTGGCCCCCTCATTTTCATACAGGCAGCATCAAAGCCAGATGATCCCAAACTCTTGAACTGGTATGTCAATGCTGACAACGCTCCTCTTCTGCCCCGTTGCAGGAACACAGAGGGTCCTCCCAGTTGGAATTCAGTGACCCTGTTGTAACGAGAGTACCCGACGGCTTCTGTGGCGTAGGTGGGGTTTTGTATTCATTCACACAAGATTATGTTGTCAGTCTTCTTGAGCAGCGTTTTCTATTGCTGTCATCCCCTTTCAGAGAGCCAAAGGGTCAACGCAATAAGCATTGCTGTACAACGAACAGTGAGGACTGCAGTGCAGAATACAAAGGATAAGAAACCTAAGGGACACAAAGAAAAGATTTTACTGATTTTCCCCCCCTTCTTCTTAATCCTAAATGTAAGCCAGAATGTTGTAGAGCCGAGACAAATGGGGATCACCTGCGATAGCCCTCCACAAGAGGGCTCCTATTACAGTAAAGACAGAGCTGTTCAGAGCTCGGCAGCTCTAGACAGGCACTACAGTGAGCTACAGACTGGCTGCACACTTACTGTGAAAACCTTTGGACCGTACAGAGGTGCTATCTCTCTGCGAAGTGAAGATGACTAATGACTGCACTACCCTATTTAAGCAGCTATAGGACATGGCCCAGCATATCACACCATTACAAGGTGACAGTCAGACACTAAGGAAGCACAGCTTCCATCCCTGTCCACAGGCAGCAGCCGTTCTAGGCACTGGAGTTGGGAAACACCAGCCACTTACAGAAAAAGCCTGGCAAACTTTTATAAAAATTATTAAAGAGGAATGTGGCAGAATGGATTTATTCAGTAGGTGAACTCCTGCCACTCCCATCACAAAACTCCCCGGAATTCATGCTAACCAAGGCTCTAGTATCTGTTCCAGATAGGGCCTTCCCCAGAGGAAAACATGAGTGGGTGGTCAGGTTTGGAAATGAGATGAGTGGCCTCAATGATCGTTTCCCCTCCTTTCCATCTCAAAAATGTTAAGCTTTTAGATTACTGCAACGCACAGCATGACAAATTCATGACTTCTAGAACTCCACAGCTGTTACTCTACGGCATTACCCTGGCAATTCAGCATGCTGTGGTGAGAGCAGGAAATGCAGTCACCTGGATAATGATGTGAATAAGAACAGTTAGCTGCTAATCTTTCCTTAAGTCTCTTGACTTCAAAAATGTCTTTTTGGAGGACACAGCCCTGAACACTGCTGAGCTTTCAAGCCAAAATGAATATAATGCTTTGTAGTCATAAAGCCTTGGTAAGCCAGACTTTTCCCCAGCCCATCCTTCACAACACCACATTATCGAAAGTAACTCCTTTTAAAATATGAGTGTTTCCTGGGCAAGCCTCAGAGGGGAAACTTTTCCTTCTCCATTCCTCCAGCTGCTGAAGGGAATGGGAGATATCTCAGAAGTGGACTAGCATTGCTGATCTTACTGGAAAAGCTGGAGTTGTTCTCTTGTTCACCTCTCCCTCACCACCATTTGGTCAATCCTTCATTTCTATCATCAGGGATGTTCCCATGTTAATGTATTGGATCAGGCACATGGCTCACAGGGCATCAGCCAGAAATAACCTCTAGGGGATGAAGCCTCACGTGGGACCTGTAGCAGCGATGAGCTACTCACAAATGAGTCCAACAGGAGAGGAACTAAAAGACTGCGCCGTTCTTAGTTAGGAGGCCCATAAAATGAGCACAAAGGCAGCGGCAAGGGATGTCACTGCATATCTTGACAGATGGATGACCATGCTACAAACCCACCTCTCAGATATTAACCAGCTTCCTTACACAGGTTCAGAGGAGACACTGACAGTCAAAGTTGTCAAATGTTCCTTTTCTTTCATCTCTCTCTCCCCCCATCCCCATTTAGTCCCTAAAAATTAATGTTAGTTAAGGAAATGAACGCCACAAAAACTTGCACGCCATCCGTGCAGGGCCAATTCTGTGGAGAAAGCAGCTTAGCAGCCCAGGAAATTTGGTCCTCTAACATTTTTCACTAGATTCATTTCTAGAAATTTGAAATAACCCAAACAAAGCAATGCCCCACAAGCAACATGAGCATCATTCCTCTAGTTACCTGACCAGGAAACACCATGTGTCCAAGTTGGCAATAGGGCCCTACCGCTTTTATTTACCCTTAAGGACAGCACACACTCATATTAAAAGCCATACATGGTTTTGTGAGCTAACATCACCCTAGAATCTAGTAGTATTTGAGAAGCTATTTTGCCAAGAGAAGAATCGTGGAAGAAAACTACCTGCAAATGCAATCTGGTCATACAGATGATGTTTCAGATGTCACTTTAGAGCTCACAGGTGGCTTCATACATTCTTTCACACCCTCTTCCACTGAATCCTGAGGCTTACAACAGTGAGAACAGACTGAAAAAGAAGACACCTCATTAGTATCTGGATAAAAAAGCTGAATCCAAATGCCTTCTTCAACAAAGTAAAGTATGACTGAGAGTGGGAAGAAAGGAGAGAAGAAATTAAAGAAAAACAAATCTTGTAGCTCCAGTTACTTCTATTCTTCCTTGGCAGGACTCATCCCTGCAGTACATCTGAATACGGCTGGCCCATAGCCATAGCCTGATCTGATAGAAAGCTCTGTTACATGTAAATGTTATCTATACAGTGTCATATGGATAAAACAGTTCTCATTAGCATAGGGCTAGGATCTCAGCCTGGCACAAAGACAGGTTGCTACATGCTAAGATAAGGACAGAAGGGAAATAATGGTAAAAGTTACATGTCACTAAATGCAGTTTACCAAGCAAGTGAAAGAACACTAGTGTTAGAACCAGCCAACCAACTCTTTCAGTGCTTTAAAAGGAGTTCAGATTAAACAGGTCCCCTTAGTATGTCAGCATCTATGAACAATTTTGTTTTAATAATTGAAGTTGAATCTTTCTGTACTATTGCAGCAAATTGTACTTGCACAAGTTTTACAACAAGGATTCTAAGCTATTCTTTAAGTGACCTCTAATTTCAGTCTACTCTTGGTGCTTTGCGTTAAATTAATGAAGAGCCAAAAAATCTAGAGAGTTTCCATTCTTAAATTACTGCAAAGACAGGCTGTGAGCTCCTCAAAGTAGAGGGTTCTGAACCTCAACAAACATCTACATGTTTTGGTCACCACCACAATCATGCATCTGAGAACTCTTATTTCCGTTTTGCTCTATCTTTCTATTCTTCCCTCCCACACTTCAGCTCTTTGAAGCATGGCTTTTTGAGCTCAGAAACCACTCTTAGCATCAAGGCAGCTCTCAACTCAGCTTTCCATATGCCAGAACAACAGAAGTACTCTCAGACCTATTCTGAGCTCCCACAATAGCTCTTGAAAGGTAACCTGTAGCAACACCAACAGGAAGCACTCTGAGGACAGGTATTTCCCTTCCCAGACAGGTGGCAATACAAAGCAGCACCAAAACGTGACAACTGTGCAAACTGGGAAGTTGGATTGAAGCTCTAGCTTCAGTTTCTTACAGTATACGCCTGGTCTGGAAAGTGGCAGTACAAAATAGCACCACCTGACTCAGCAAATCTAATCCTTGTGCATATTAGGAAAATGGGACTGAAAGGGAAATTCCAGTTTATGCAGCCATGTCCTGTGCTCTTGCAGGTGATCCCATTCTACCACATTGGTACGCTTTTTACATGTACTTTAAAAGCAATTTGGTTTCTATATAAAAGGCTATCTCAGAATGCTCCAGAATCTTACTGATTTAATGGTAAGGAACCTTTTAATTTCCAGCCTTTATTTGTTTAGAGCCAAATCTTTCAATTCCAGTTCATTTTCTCCTATAATTAGAAGTTCATTATCCATGCAGCTGACAGCACAGGCTGTGATCAGCTGTGATTTTCTTGGTCTCAACCTGCTTGCTGCTTTCCCATTGACATAGCCCCAGGGAACAGCAGGGGAGAACCAGCACTGGTGTCACAGGGGCACGAGTGGAAAATGAGGAGGTGCACAGGTGTAGACAAGAGTCACTGCCTTCCAGAAGCTTCCTTTCTTTGTGATAAAACACCAAAAATAAAATTAGCCTAGCCTGACTTAGTGGTCACACTGGTTTTTGAGGGGATGTGGTTGGTGAGGAGGGGAAAGGAAAAATGCTCAAAAAAAAATGCTCAAAATTGTTCAAACAAAATGCTACCTCCACAACTCTGACTTGAGAGTGAACTTGTCTGAAGGTGAAATAGACATAGCAGAAGAAACAAGCATGACAAACTTAAAAGTGCCCCTAGTGAAGTGAATTGAGTCCCTGCTGCCTAGCAAATAACTTTCCAACTGGGGATACCACTGCGACCATGATGAGTTAAGATGCTCAGACTGGTGGCTTCTGGTTGAAGTGGACTGAACACAGAGCGCTCTCAGTGAGGTATCCTTGTCTCCAGACTTGACCTCCCCAGTGACTGACAGAACTTGATTGGGTGATATTTATAACGTGTTGCAAGGCCTGCTGTCTTTCTCCAGGGCGGCTTTTCAAAGCTGCTAACGGGGTGTGGATAGGACATCTACTGCTGTTGACTTTCAATACTGGCTGGATTCCTAGCTGCCTTTATAAAGCCAATAGATGTCTACCCTGATCTTCAGGGGCCTTCTGGCTAGGTCACCTTAGACATGATTAGGAGCAACAACTAATGGATGAGATTTTTTTGAGCCACAAAAAACCCCCCCAAAAACCAGTCTACTCAGCTGCCAGCTAACCCTGAGATGCTTGAGGTCCCCTTTGCCATTGAAAAACTCCTGGAGACATGTCTGGAGTTACTGAAGACTTCATAGGGTGGGACAGGGCACCTCACCTGTGCTGGTTTTGGCCACACAAAGACGACAAATCCATCTCTCCTGATTGGGGTTCTCCTAAAAGTGGGACATGCTATGCTTAAGTCCTTTCTGTGGACCTAGCACTATATAGTTTTGTAACTTTGGCTCTGTGATTTTTCTGAGGGATTGTCCAAGTAGGGTGGTAGAGAGATCCCATTCTGAAACTGTCAGTGCTCAGCTCTATCTATCATGATCACCAAGATTCTTGGCATCTTCAAGCATCTTAATATATAAAAAGGGACCTTTGTGCATGTCTTCAATTCTGTATACCCCTGATTTTGGAAATACTCTGATCTGCTGTCAAAACTCCCCATCACCCCTTCACTCTCAAACCTGAACCCTAGCGCTGCCTGCACACAAAACTTAGGAAAGTCCTGAGCTGGACTTAGATTTTGTGACAGTAGATGTTGCATTGAAAAAAAAAAAAAAAAAAAAAGAGAAAAAGGAAATGAGAAGAAGGTACAAAAATATCTAGTGTGTCAGTATAGTTTCTATAAATGTGTATTTTGCATAGAAACTCCATAAGCAGTAAGAGACTGTTTCTTGAAAAAGGAGCTATACTTACCATGCCTTGGGAGGTATCGTGCTGCAAGGGTGATAGCCAAAAGGAAGGTGATTATGATGATACTTGAAGCAGTAATGACATTATAAGATGGAGGCACAGTAGGGACAACGCACTCCTTTGTTTTTCCTGAGACAGAAGAAATAAAACATAAATAAAGGGCCCAACAACATATTGGCATTTTCATGTAAGAGCAGCTATATGAATTTTGGTGGTTCTGGCCAAATTCTAACTCAGATATTCAGCCTGAAAATATACCTGTTCAGTAAACAAACAAAGCTGGCACCTAAATTTCTTCCATTCTCCAAATTTGCTTTGTGCTGAAATTTTTAACATATCCACAGAATCCGAAATGATGGGTCTTTGTCCAGAACAGGACTGAGACAGGCAATATTTAAAAACACCTAAGCTGTTTTTAAAGAAACTGGTTAGGCTTGGTGGAAAAGTCTGAGTCTATATCTAGAAAACTTCCATTCTCAAAGGTACTCTGCAGTTTTTCTTACTGTTTTCACCAGATTTATGCCTAATTTTTTCCCCACTGAATTCACAGGTGATGGAGAATGATGCATTAAACAGACTAGAATAGATTTTTTTCTGCATGGCAGGAAAAGAGTGTTGTGGCAGAGTTCAGTTTCAGTGGATCTGGAGCCTTTGGCTTTTTACCACTGGAGATGCCCATTCTGCCACTTGGAGACTAGAGCAGATAACGGGCCATTCTTGTACAGTACAAGACAACCCTAATTCAACAGGAGGGACAGACTTGGTGCATGTTCATAGATCTTCAGGTTTTCATTGTCTGTCTCTGGCACAATTAAGGATCATTCAGCTTCTAAGACACTAGCCTGATCTGCTGTACAATCTTCCCCTCCACTGTAGGGTTTGCCTCCTACGTTTACCAGAGGCTGTATTCTGTCTGGAACTTTGTGTTCATGAAAGACTTGTTTGGAGGACCATTTCCATCATACCAAAATGGGAGTCATTCCACATCTTAAAAATCCAAAAGTGCGGGTTTTGTGACTGTGGTTGTCACTGCTGATTGCACCCTCCTCTAAGAATATGTGTGACAAAAGTGTATTTCTATTATTACTTTTTTTGTTGCCCTCCTTTTCTATGTGGTATGATATTCATAACATTCTTCCATTACCATCTCTAGGGACATTATGCACTACATCCAGCGATAACCAATATTCATAAAGCACTGGTTTCTGGCATTCGTCCTGAAGCTGAATGGCACCTCTCCTCATGAGCCCCTTTGATTTTAGTGAGATTGATGAATAAGGTACCTTGATGAATAAGGTAAGATTCCCTAGGAAAAATAGCACTTCTCTAGCTTCCCTTGAAGGTGCCCTTATCTGATGAAAACACCAGACCCAGAGACATTTCAGAATACTTTTTTGTAACAACATTAAAAAAAAAAAATCCTTTTGGCTTTAAGAATTTTCTTGCAAATCCCCTTCTACTGCAAAACATCTGGACTGTAGTGTACTGCCTTCCCCCACGCTGTTCCCACTTGTGCCTCAAGCTTTTCAAAGCACAGACTCATCTATTATGTTCTCACTTTTAAGCCACGCACAGTGATGGATTTTTTTTCTGTATGAGTTAACCCTATATTAAATATGTGTATGAAAGCAGAATTTTGTCTAGACCCCAGCTGACAGTTTCTGTCACTGAAGCAGGAACAAACATGCTTGTTAAATGAGGAAATTCTTTTTAATTGCAACCTGTGGCTTTTAAGGCACACACATTTCTCAAGTCCCTCCATTCGAACACCAGGTCTGTACCACGCAACTGGCAGCCAGATCATGCTGGTATAGAGGGGCACTGAATGGTGGCAACCCCAACCTGTGGGAGCCACTGAGGCTGACATCACCAGATCACAACAGGATCCACTTGGTCTCTCAGCCCAGCTGCGACACGGTAGAGCAGCAGAAAGACAGAGCTGTCTCTGTTTGTCAGTCACTGTCATAACTCTCCTCTCCCCCCCCGCTGTCTTACAGCCTTTGAAATATTTTGGTGTGCAGCTCACAGGTGGGATCACTCGGTCATCCTTGCATGAACAGATACACAAAATCTACTGCTTTCTCAGAGACGCAACTCAGCAGATTCAGCAAAATGGTTTTGTAATCCAAACTATTAATAAAACCTACTCAGAAGCAAACTGGTGGACTCGGCAAAGCCATTGTATTCCACGGAGCAAGTGAAGCTGATGTCTTTGGTCACATTGAGCCACAGTTTGCCAGTGACGTTGTACGCTCTGAGGCTGGACTCGGATACCCAGCTGGCATTCCACGCCGTGGACTCGTTGTCGAGAGCTCCAGAGAGTTTGGGTTTGGGGAAACCTCCATAAGAGGAACATCTTACCACCATCTCAGTTGATTCACAGGAATCAGCCAATACTTCCGCTGTTATGTTCGGCTTACTGAAGTCAGCTGAAGCAAGAAAGATTTAGTTACCATTCTGTCAGATTACAGTGAGGGCTGCAGTCCTGATCACCCACGGTCAAAGCAAAGACTCCTCACAGGGCCTTCTTCCTCTGTCATAACCTGTTTGGCCTTTCTTGTGCCTTAGCATTCTCCCCACAGCCTTGACTGGCTACGGCCTTGGCCTTTGCTGCTTCTCCTCCCTGGGTAGCACACAGACTTCATGACCGCACCTCTCCAATGCCACCATTTCCCTCCACATACAGCAGTTTGTGGAACAACAGAAGGAATCATAAAACAGGTAAGAAAAATATGGGACTGAATAAAAATCTGTATTACAGGTAATGGTAGACAGTGTCGTGTGTCCCCCCATTAGTCCCTTCCCAGCCAGAAGCTCACAGTGGGTCCATCTCTGCTGGGAAAGGAGGCGAGTCACATGTTGGTCTCTCAACTGGGATGGCCAGCAAGAGACTGAATTACATTTTCTGCATGAGAGCCCCTCCAGAAGGCTCAGCTGAGAGTAAGACCAAGTCATAATAGTCATTGCAAAAATGCATAGCAATACACAGGTCCTCTCAGACCATGTTCTCACTGGACTTTTTTCTCATTGCCAAAGACAGTTTTCAGAGGTTTCCCAGCCACACAGCTTGTTCCATGCCCTTCTGCCTGGTCAGATGTATTGCTGTAAGTGTTTGTGAGGCTGCATGGTGAAATGGATGAGAGGACTAATGAGTGAAGAAGGAGAAGAAAGGTGGTGATCTTTTTAGCCCTCTTCCCTTTGCCAATCTGGTTCACCATGTTACTGTAAACAGTTGCATTACTAAAACTAAGGATGCCCATAGGTTGCAATGAAGAGCCCAGGGTGAGGAGGAGGAGGCAAGGGGTGGCAAAGGAACTATTTAAGGCAACTCTCCCACTGGAAGAATCTCCATGGGACCACATCTTTAGCAAGAGAGGCACCAGTCAGGAAAAGAAACTCAGCGTGTGGCTTCCTGGTGGGCATAAGTCACACCAACACCGCTGCTGCCAAAGGGACCAAATTCTCCCTCCCACCCCTGCCAGCTGTAGGTCCATAGCCTGCACACCCCTGCAGGTGCTAGCCCCAGCCACGGCAAGGCCAGGCAGAGAGCTAGAGCGTGTTGCTCAACTCACTGCAAAATGACCCTTTTTGGAGCAGCTAAGGTTTTGTCTGCGATTGCTCCCTGCCTGACTCATCATTTGACCACATGACTGCTGGGATCTGCACAAGGCAGACAGCCTTCTGGTCGTTGTGCATCTTGTGCTGACCACAAACCCATGGTCTAGGCTTGCGAGTAACTAGTAATTAGTGAAAGAAAGTTGCTCAACATTGCACAGCCAAACAGCGGCACACAAGGAGAGACCCGGATTTCCTTCCAGGCCCACTATCTGTTGAGCAATACGGCATTGACATCCAGTCTGGAAAGTCCCTTCAAACATCCCAGCTGGCCTCACCAAGGCTCCCTGATCAGTCACCAAGGAGTAACACCTTTCCACCTCTCTCAGGTTAGCCTGATTCCAGCAGGGGTGAGGGGAGCTTTCCCTTTCCTGATCCCCACAATAACTGATCCCACTTTACCAAAGGGAGCCAAAGTCTACCATAAGTATTACAACTGGCCTGTAAAGACAGCAAGGGGATTTCTGGAAGGAAAGAAACTGGAGTATTTGCAGGGAGGAAAAGAGATCTGTTGTTTCACATTTTTCATGCAGTTAACTCCTCAGCCCTCACAGCTAGAGAGGGTGCTGGCAGTGCACTTCCCTTTTTTCATGTCAGTTCCCAGAAAGATCGCTAAATTTACTTCCTTGCACACATGCCCACCATGCCCTCAGACAAGCAGACAATGGCCAAACCTCAGGAGCCTGGTTATTTTTGCTGATGAATCTCATTCCAGATGGGGAATATTCATTCACTGACTTGTCTGGAAGATTCCTGGAACTCTGTGCTGCTAAAGGTATTCAAATGTATGTATATATTTATATATCTTACCAGTATCTCTGCCTCTGGTTGAAACCAACCGCCACAAAAACAGTGTTAGAAATGGAAAATAATGTCAGTGGAACTTTTTGTAGCCTCCAAGAAAAGATTCAGATTCGTTTTGAGCAAAGGAACTCGGGTTGTTTCTTTAAGGTAAAAAGCCTCAAATCTCCAGCTGAGTTCAGCCTTAGGTTGTGGATCTGCAGCACGGCTGGCCAGCCCCCCCAGAGAGCCTGGGCTCCCCAGGGGTTGGATGCAGGGCTGGGATGCTGCTGCAGTCACAGAAGAACAATGCCACCCCATTCCTCTTTCAGCTTGGACACTTCCCTTGCGCCAAGGGCTGGGTGTCTGCTTTGCCCAAAAGACAGCAGGGGGCAGAGGTGGCCTAGGGCACCCAGCAGCAGTGGTACCTGGGGAGGTGTCTTGGGAGGGGTCCTTTCCCAAGAGGGAGGCATCAAGGGGAGGTTGTTGGGGTGGTGGGAAAGGCAAATTTTCTGTAGCTGGGGTAGCTTTGGAAAGGTAAGGAGGGAGGCTGCTAGAATGGAAATAGTTAACAGACCTTCTGGCACTCTTTTAGACTTCCTGTGAAAGTCTATCTGCTACATTATGACTAAAGCTTGGAGGAGCATCCTTTACCCACCAGAGGCTGGCACCAGAAAGCTTCAGATATTGGGAGGCAATCCACCTACCTGTAACAAAGAGGGTGACAGACTCATCACACACAACAACTGAGTTCTGCGAAAGTCTGCGGTGCTGAACTATACACTGGTAAGAGCCATTGTCCAGGATTTCCACCGGGGAGATCCACAGGGTGAGGTTCCTGGCATCCATCTCTGTCCGGTTCACGTACTGCTTGTGCTTGGAGATCATCTTCCCCTCTGCGTAGGCAAGCACTACCTCTGTAGTGTTCTTCTGCCAGTAGACCCGGTAACTATGTAGGCTTTCCGAGCTGGGAATTTCATGACAACAAGGCAAGCCAACTTTTTCTCCCACTTTGCTTTTGACCACTTTCTTCTCCAGTGCATAGCCTGTAGGTGGAGGGTAAACAAAAGTCAGTGAGACAGTGGTATAGCCTTGTGCCAGGACCTGCTGCATAGAGCTTACCTCTTTCAGCTCTGTCTGTACCTGCTAATGTACTCCACCACCCACCAAGCTGTTTACAACTTCAGCCCTGCACTGAGGGGAGGCCTCCCTTGGCATTGCCTCTTACGTGATGCTCCAGTCCTACTTAGGATCCTGAGCTAGAGGGCACACAATGATTTCTGCATGGCTTACTGAAGGCGAAGGCAGGAGAGTTACCTGCCTGAACAGAAATTTTGCTGGCCCCTTAAAAAAAACACACCTCAGAGTAAAAAATTGCCATTATTCATGTACGGGGATAAAAACATACATGCCCAAACCGCTACCTCCTCTGCTCTCCCTTTTCAGAGCTCAGTGTTTGGAAAGTCTGTGTCACCCTCCAGTGGGTTCCCTGCATGCCAAACAAGGCCACAGTGGACTATTAGTTTGGGGGTTTGGGGTTTTTTGGGGAAGGTGTTTTTTCTTAAAAAAACAAACAACCCAAAGCTTTCAAGATCCCAGAAGCTGGAAGCAAACCTACAGCGATAAACAAAGGTTACAGCCACGCTGTCATTAGCCTCCTAGTATTAGCAAATGAACAATTTTGCCTAGTCTAGCTAAAACAAATTTGTATTTGCGAAGGCCCATGGGCCTCCCTTGGGATTACTTGCAAACCAGCACAGGCATTCCCCAACTCCTGCCCAGCAACTGTGTCAGTGCCACACCTAGTATACAGGCATGTGCCTACAGTAACAAGTCAAGACCTTGGCTGGAGAAAATTAGGTGCAACTTTGATCAGGTTAGCAGTAATCCCTCTGCTTCGTGCTACAACTTTTATGCACTCCACTCCTGTAATCAGCCCTGCTTTCCCACTTTCCTTCCTCTTTCCAGTGGGTAGGTGCTTGCAGGAGCCAGGACCTGATACGTGAGGGAGCAGCCTACCAAGGAGCTCCTGCTGTTACTCGAAGAGTGACCCAGTACTGACTGACGTGCGGTCCTGTGCTGCACCAAGGCCAGGGCAGATGGTTGGGCTTTTGCCTGGGTTTGTGCAAGCTTCAGGATGAGGCTTATCTCTGCGCAGCCTGCTTTATTAGTCCAGAAGGTCAGGTTGCTTTACATTTGCCCCGCTTGTCTCAGCCTCACTACCTTAGCACCCATCTCCAGTAGCGGAAAGGGGATACCAATCTGTTGCACTCCATTGACTGAGAGTGGAAAAACAAGGAAACAGCTGGCCTCAGGACTGAGAAGATTCAAATTACTTCTTCTTTCCCTGCCAAACAGATTTCAGTAAACATGTCTGAGAGAGAAAGCAGGGAAGTCCTGACCAGGTGGTACGCCACTGATGGGGAGAGTGCAGCATCGCCCATTGGTGGAGGTGAGACCCCACATGCAAAGCCTCTGCCTGAAGCGTGAACCGAACGCTTGACAAAGCTGAGCGTAAGATCTGCAACCCAACCCTAAAAAAGTCTGGCTGATGCTGGCTCACACATTACTGTCACAGCTAATGCCTAACAACAGCCACACTATACACAGGCATAGAGTGCAGTGCTCAGATTGTGACTGGGATGCTATGACATTCAGACCAGCTGAAGTGTCCAAAACTGCCACAAGCTCGTTGCCGGCCAGGGCTCGTTTTCATAGCATTGACTCGCAGACCCTTGGGATGCCATCACACAGCCGGCAGCAAGACCCCTGCAGCATGCTGACCTGTGCCCAGCAGCACACCCTGATGAGATGCTTCGCAATCCTCCAGCTGCCAGCACTGGAGGGAGACAAGCAGATGCTCAGCCAGTGCATCAGCACAGCTGGATCCTGGGGCAGCAGTGGGGGCTGCTTGCTGAAGTTAAGCCTAGGCAGAGAGCCTGGGACAGAACATGAACTAAGCTTTCACCCCGCTCCCCTGCAGCACACCTACCCCTGTCCCACTTGCACGCTTTATGTTAAACCTGTAGGAAACACACTGAAAAATCCTGGGGAGGTCCTGGCAGCACTATGGAATGTTTTAATATTAATTAAATAAAATAGAATACATAATTAAACGAGCAACTTCTCATTTAACTGGTTTCCCTCCACTCAGCCACTTCATTGGTCTTCCAAAGGGAAAGATTCAAACTCAGTTCCCCCCCCCCCCAACCTGTACTTCCCCTTAGAATGCATCGCAGACTCTGAGCAACCAGACTGGGGGCAGACCAGGAGCCCACTCAGCCCGCTGACCTGTGTCAGCCAGCAACGGGTAGCCAAATGGTAGAAAAACTAGTTCTTCCACACCACACAGGATAAAAACTGCCATACCCTGCCAACCTTTGGTAGCCAGGAATTTAGGGATTTCTTGGCATCAGCAGTTTAATCGCTACTGCTAGACCTGCCCTTCAGGGAGAGTTCTTAACCCTTCAGGAATGCACATATATTTTTGGCTTCCACAACATCCTGTGACAATGAGTTGCACAGTTTGATTACATGCTGCGTGAAAAAGCATTTCCTTCTGTTCACCTTAAAAGCATCCCACTTTACGCTGTGATTCTTGAAGTTCCTCCTCCTGCATGTCTGCATGCATTTGTGCGTGTATGTGTTTTTTCCTTCAACCACATCTTCACTTGTTCTCACAGTTCAGCTCTTACTACTACTGGAGAGACCCACAAGAGCAGCCCGTCAAACTTTGGGATTGTGGAGCCCGATAAAGACAATTTTCTATTTTCTTTTGCAGCAACAGGGGAAGAGTAGGCGTACAGTAAATGTCAGGGTGACATCGCATCATGAGTTGCATGAGGTTCTCCACGCCTTGCCCCTCAGAGTCTCCTTTGCAACCAAAAGGAGAACAAAAACCTTCTCCGCAGTACATGTGCTGGGGCTGGAAACTCCTGCTGATGTCACATCTACCCTTAAAAGGCTCTGCACCCTTGAAACTGCAACCTGAATGCTGCAAGCCTGAAGGAACCAAAGTCCACGAAGAGTCATTCAGCCCCACAAAAGTCCCCTTTCACTTTAAAGGTGAACTGCAAAGCAAAAATGAAAATTCAGTTCTGTCCCATTTCTGTGCTGAATGCTCTCTGTAACCAGGCTGTGGGGGAGGTATCCACTGTGGAAATAATTTTTAATGACTTTTCTAGAAAAAAAAGATCCCTCCTCTTCCTACCCACCTGAAGCCCACCCGCTCCCTTGCTGTGCACTCACATTGCTCCGTCTCTGGAAGCCCACGGCGTGTGGCAACGCTGAACTAATGAAAGGGCTGACTTTCTGTTCCCCGGGCAGAAAAACATTTCATTCAAACTATGTCTGTGCTGCAGATGCCTCATATGGCAGGGCTAATTAGAACTGAAAGGTGAGTGTAGAGGAAAACCATCCTTTCTTGTATGCTCCAAGAGTCAGCAAGCAGGAGAGCTGTTGAGCCTCCATCCCTGTTTCCTTTACTCCTTGCCCAAGCTGTGTTTCAGAAATTCCCCAGCCACAGACAGCTTGGTTTTCCTGACCACTCGTACAATCAGGCAGTATGAGAGAGCAGATTGCCTCTGGGGCAGAAGTCCTGCAGAGACATTTGACTGTAAAAGGCAGTAAAAGACCACACAACACTCTAGAGAAGCAGCGTTGAACTGTTGGAAACCTTCAGATAATTCCTGGTGAACAGAAACCCCAAAGCCTTTCTCTTTCCCCTCTATCTCGCATTTCTCTGCCCTTCTGAACTGCTTTGCCTTTTTTTGCTCTTACCTTGTGTTACCTTGCTTTGCAAACAACTGTCCTGGTTTTGGCTGGGATAGAGTTAATTTTCTTCCTAGTAGCTGGTATAGTGTTATGTTTTGGGTTCAGTATGACAATAATGTTGGTAACACACTGATGTTTTCAGTTGTTGCTAAGTAGTGTTCATACTTAATCAAGGATTTTTCAGCTTCTCATGCCCAGCCAGCAAGCAGGCTGGAGGGACACAAGTAGTTGGGAGGGGACGCAGCCAGGACAGCTGACCCAAACTGGCCAAAGGGGCATTACATACCATGTGACATCATGCCCAGTATATAAACTGGTGGGGAGTTGGCCAGGAGGGGCAGATGGCTGCTTGGGGACTGGCTGAGCATTGGTCAGTGGGGGGTGAGCAATTGCATTGTGCATTACTTGTCTTTCTTGGGTTATATTTCACTCTATTTTTGTTATCTTCTTTTTCATGACAATTATTATTGTTATTAGAATATTTTATTTTATTTTTATTTCAGTTATTAAACTTTTAATCTCAGCCCACAAGTTTTACTTGTTTTCGACTCTCCTCCCCATCCCACGGCAGGGGTGGGGTGCAGAGGGGAGAATTGGCAGGGAGGACTGAGCAAGCAGCTGCATGGTGCTTAGTTGCTGGCTGGTGTTAAACCATGACAGCAACCCACAAAGCCACATGTGTGAAGGGAACGATCCTTCTTCGTGGGCCTCGAATCCTTTGCCCCTGTGTAAGCAGCAGGTAAGACCTGCACATTATTTCGACTGACAGTCCTGCAAAAAGCTCTGAGGCAAATTGTCAGCTACCCTCCAAAACCAGGAAGGTCCAAACAGCCCTGCATTGCTTTTTTTTCCCATAAGGTTCCCTATTTATCTTTGCAACAGCAGCTGGTCTCTCTACTCTTAATTATTGGCATCACTGACTTTGCCTAGGACCATGCACCTGGGACTCCCACTCTGCTGGGGTGCTGACACCTTTCTTGCCCTCCGCCTGCACGTGGGCTGGAAAAAGGGGCTTGGGGCAGCTCTGGGAGGAGGTGCACATCATGTCATGGCAAGGCAAAGGCACTTCTGGTAACTGGGGCTGGGCCAGCTGAGGAAAACATATCTCCTGGAGGCCATCCCCTGGGGTCAGTGCAGGAATCGCACCCAACAGTCCCCAGGTAATTCTGCAGCTCAGGCCCCTCGTTTTCTGGGCATAGCACATTTGCCCCAAACTTGCAGGGATTATCCTTTGAGGACAACACAGTACTTTACGGGAATTTCCGAGCAAGACAGGTCATCAGTTGAAAAATTGAGAAATTTTGAAAAGCTATCTTTAAAGGACTAGACACTCCCCCTTGGTCTTTTCTTTAACCCAGGTGATTTTACCAGTAAGGAATCAGATTCTCCCAAAGCTTTCCATGGAGTTAAAGCTCAGCAAACATCCTATACTGCACTGGAATACGTGAAGAAATGCTTTGTATTTAAATCAGTGTTGTGACAGACTCCTGTGAATACACTGATCACAGAAAGACCCCATTAGATGCCCAAATAACTTCTATGTGGAGACATCATTTCAGCAGTGCGTAAAAACACTATCTTCCTCTGCCTTTCACCTTAAAGGCCCCATGCAGTGAGAAAGATGGGATGGAACAGAGGAAAGTGGGTGCTGGCAGGCCCTGCTGGCTGTTCTCTTTAAGGAGTCCCTGACTGCATGTTAACCCAGGCACGAGTGCCTGGTAAGCCTCCTAGGCTCCTTCTACCCAGACTGCATTCCAGCAAGTCGAGGCATGCAAAGGGAGGTCTCGGCATGCAGAGGAAGGAGGAGCCCTTTGCCCTTGCACAGCCCCAAGCCCAGCCTTCCAGTCACAAACTACAGGCCTGCTGCTACCCTTCAGCTGCTCTAGGCTGCTCTGGCAAAGCAAAGCAGCTGCAAACCCAGTTTGTTTTACTCATGTCATGGTGACTTCTTGCAAGGTCATGTTCCCTTATTCATCCCAAATCCAGTAAGACAGAGGAGCAGAAGAGAAGGGCATCCCAAAGAAAAACAGCAATGTACTTAATTCAGCAGCAGTTCCACTCAGTCTCACTTCCCTGTACCCACTCACGCTAGTCAAGCATGTCCGCGGCCATTAAGTGACAGGATTAATCCTAGTTTACAATGATGTCATGACTTGCCTGAGATAGGGAAACAGTTTAAAGACGTTTTTCTAAAAGTTCAGCTCTGCTTGTTTCTGTGCCGTAACCTCAGGGTGCCAAGTGGTATAGCAAAGGCATGGCACCCCTTCCTTGGCTTTATGTACTTCCCATCTTCACATTGCCACATTCCTCCTGAACAAAACAGTAACCTTGCTTCTCCCAGCTCTATACAACATGATTTGGCAATTATTATAATATCCCCACGGTGTTTTGGTGCCTGACTCCTTCAGCAGTCTTCGTTCCATTTTAATGCTGTTTTGTTTCATGTGCAAAGCCTTAAGTGAAGAAATCCTTGAAATCACGAAGTGACTGTGAAACCCATAGGACACCTGCCTGTGTCTATAGACAGAAAGACAGCCCATCTTTGGGGGTGCTGACTAATCCCATTTTTTTTTCCCAGCAGCTTGTTAACTTGAGGCCCTATTGATGACAAATGAAATTATCAATTTTATTTGCCTCCCTAAGAATACTTTGATAAGCAGTGATGTACTGTAGGTAACACTCATTTTAGAGTGGTTCACAGGGGGCTCTCAACACATGCTAGTGTCCGATGTGGTCCCAGTTTCTTAGACACTCACTACTCCCATTGAAGCCCTCCCTCCAACTGTGGTTTCCTTTTCAGGTTGCAGACTGAATGCTCTGCTTTCTCCAGCCTTAATTGCTGCTCACCAGAAAGTAGATTTCACACACCCCCGATAGCCTTTTTGCCACAAAAGCCAGCAGGGCAACCCAGCCAGATGGGGAATGAAAGGAAGTGCTGTTACTGAGTCACAACTCTGTCAAAAACCTGGCTTTAAAGGGAAGGAAACTCCATGAAACACAAAAAAGTTCCACGATCTGCAATTAGCAACTGAGAAGACAAAAGGGAATCTGAAATAACTTTGGTAAAGGGACTCACTGCAGCACTGGGGCAGCTCCAGCCAGCTGGTACCCCACCCTTTTGCTCTAGCTCATATTTCGGTACTTCTTAAGATAAAGATCTACTGTGTTCTGAGTCACCACTGCCCAGCCGGGACAAGCCCACCACCTGGGTATGTCCAGTCTGCTTTGTTTATAGCACAAGTAAGATCGCAACCCTTCGGTTGGCAAATTTCTAATCTTGGCAGTAGCCAGGAGGTCAGATCCAAGCAAGGAGCTGGAGATGAGACGCCAAAGTACTTGGGTGTGGAACAGGGACTATATTGCATCTTAAGATCTTCCCCTTTGCTGCGGAGCCGTCCACATGGGTGCTGCACACTCAGGGAGGAGAGGAAGGAGTGCTTGCTTATCTCCTGTGCTGCATATTGACAGGGACATCAGCAACGGGGACAAAAGGACATCTTTGACCTGGGGAAAGGAGCAAAGGGAAGCGTCTTTCTGAACCTTCCCCCTTTCTCCTTTCGCGGCATGTGGAGTGGGTGACCCTGCTAGAATAAA